TGCACGCTTCAAACAGAACAGTCAATGAAGATGAAGAAGAGAATGATGTGTAGCTCCCGGCGCCGATTTATACTCTAGTCGCACCGGTAGTGACGTCATGGCTGTCGCCGGACAACGAGTTGGTGTTTTTTCAATGTATGCTTCAGACACGGGTCACGACAAGGCGTTCCCCCATAGCGACCCCTAGAGGAAGCAGTTCGAAGTTCCCATGAAAGGGAACTGATGTCATATGCTGTTAATTAGTGTTATTTCAAACAGATATTACAGCACTTTTCTGATTCTTGATTTGTGTGCAGAGCTTTTGTGATGGAGCAGGGCCTGCAAGACAGGGTGACGGCGGCCTTTGTAAAAAAAGAAAATGGGAAAACCTCAAACAAAAATATAAAGTAAGATCATGTTGTTATTTCTAATACAGAAATCAGTTGACATTGTGCTGTTAAAATGACTGCTTTTGTTTTGTTTGTACATTTTTGTAGGATCTCAAATGTCCAGCAACCGGTGTGAGCACTGAGGATGCAGAGCCCACAGCAGCATCTTGGAAGTGGTACAGGGCCATGGATGAAGCAATTGGGTGCAGACCCTCCATCGTTCCACCTGCCCTTGTTGCCTCATCTGGCCCGGATGTTGCTGTGGCCTCTACATCCTCAGTGAGCCCAGCCCCAGACACAGCAAGGGCATCAAGGAAAAGAACCCGGAAATCAATTGAGAATCTGATCAAGGAGATGGAGGAGAGGGAAATGACAAGAGAGCAGGAAGCAGTCGAAAGGGAGGAGAAAAGATGGAGAGAAATGGAGGAGAAGGAGGAGAGACGAGAACGAGACAGACAAGAGCGGGAGGAGAGACGACATGCTGAGGACAGAGAAAGAGAAGAAAGGTGGCGCCGGGAAGCAAGTCAAAGGGAGGAAAGATTACTTCACCTCCTTGAATGTATTGCAAATAAATAATGTATATGTATATTTAAACGTGGATTTTTGTGAAGAACAAACATATGTTTGAAATGAGAATTTAATTTCACACACACACACACACACACACACACACATAAGGGAAGGAAATGAACTCTGCTGGACAATGGCCCTTCATAACCTATGTTGAGACTGTTTGCACAAACCACCTTCACTTGCATTAACTACACATAGTAGCAGTGATTAAAGTTCACCCAAACATACACTATAAACTCATTATTTATTAACTTCATGGTGTTCCATCCCTCTAGTTTTATTTCTGAACATAAAAGGTGATTTTGGTCAAGTATATTCTGTTGGTTTCTGGTCATACAATATTGGCCAATAAAGCCTGACATTTAGAAGCCTCAAAAGCATCAACAAATAGTGTAATGAACAAAAACAGAGGGATCAAACAACATGAAAGTGAGTAAATAATGACTGAATTTATATGTTTGAGTGAACTAATCTTTCAAATAAAAATTGTATGAAATGTATATAAATTTATATAAGCCTGTAGTAGTACCCTAAAGAAATAAACTACTAACTTTCAAAAAAGGCTTTACTTAGGAATACAAATCACATTTATTTTTATGTATGTATTTAGTAGACATTTTTATCCAAAGTGACTTAACCTGTTTTAATCTTTTACAGGTAGTCATGCTCATGGAGAGCAGGCACACAAATGTTTGGAGCGGACACAGCAGCAGCCATATTGTCCCGCAAATGTTCTCCCCCTCTTGGTTCAAGGTTGTGGGGTTCAGGGGGGCCGTCGTCATGATCTTTCTCCACTGGCTCAACGATGTCCCCATTGACAAGAGCGAGATTGTGAAGCACAGCACAGCATGCAACAACCTCAGGCACGAAGACAGGGCTCACCTCTAAGGCCTTGAAGAAAATGGAGCGCCAGTGTGTTTTCATCATGCCAAAGGCTACTATGCTTCGTGCGCGGGAGTGCTTGCTGTTGAAACGAGCCTGCACAGGGTTCTGCACAGGCTGTCTCTATGGGGTGATGAGGCAGATGGGTGCACTCAGACAAGGGTAGCCACCATCCCCGAGGATGAAATTTCCTGCAGGTGGAAATAGGCTGCCGACATATACAGGGCTGTTCCTCAGCACCCTAGAATCGTGCACAGACCCCGGATATCCCACAAAGACATCAAGGAATTTCCCCTGGTGATCGGTGATGGCCTGGAGTTGGATGGAATGAAACAGCTTTCTGTTGTAGTAGCATTGGGAGTTATTTGCTGGAGGTTTAATTCGGATATGACAGCCGTCCATTGCACTGACTGCTCGACTGAAAGCTAGTGACCCAGCTAGCTGTGCAAATCCTGCTCCCACTGCCTCCAGGTCATCACCGGTTGGAAAATAAATCACCCTCCTCAAAATTCCTATGACTGCCTTGCTCACTTTGTGCACAATCCCAAGCACAGAGGATATGGGCATGTCAAAGGTCTGTGACACGACCCTGTAGGATGCTGCATGTGAAAGCCAGTGGAGGAATACGAGGACTTCAATGTCCTTTTCCCACCCAAGGTCAGATTCCAATCTGACTGCTGCAATGAGGAACCCTGATGGATGGCAAAGACAGGCAAAGGTGGGCACGGTGGTCAGCTGCTTGGTCCAAATAAAACCGCAGAATCGGCACAGCTGTGTTGACATGGCAGTAGGATGTGGGGTTCACTGCCTGTAAATATGTGCTGTTATTAGAACATTAAACTCAAATAAAGATTTGTTTCATGTGTTGTTGACTTGTATATGTATACAGCTAATGTGATGGTTAATTAAGAAACAATAAAAATGAGTGAATTAATATCAGTAAATAAAGTAATTGTTTCATTACATCATGCATTAATTCATTGCTTGACTGAAAATTTATGTTCACATCGGCTCCATTTGTCTTATGTGTTTTCATGCATGTCATATGAAAACAATTAATTAGGCTTTTTTAATGAAATTATACAATTTTCAGTAATATGTAGTACAATTAAGCATGGGTCTGCATCTGTTATTATCATTGTGCGAAACTGTTGGGGTGAGCTAGCAATGCAATTCATTCTGGTGTAATTTATAAGTGGTGACATTTTTGAAGTATAAAATCAACAGTGTAATCCTAAAGCGAGATCTGCGAGCAGCTGCCCGACGTCTCCTTTGTAATACCATTCCAAACGCTAAGGAAAACCGCACTAGGCAGGGTAAGCAATTTACTGTTGTGATCAGGTGGTAGTGCACACCTGTCACCTCAAGTAATTATTGAACTTGTTATAATGTCGGAGGTCACATGTTAACGTCAACATTATGGGACCACGATCCATACTACATACTGCGGTACGATAGGTGGCGGTATACATCTGATAAATCATGATTGTAAACCACCATAAAAATTCAAAGAAGAAGAAGATTACGTCAACATGGCGGATCGCGTTCATACTTAACTAGATTTGGCTGTTGAGTATGTACTCTTTTAGCACTCGTTAAGTAAGTACTTATTGAAATTAAATACCTACTCATTGAGTATGCGGTTTCGAACGCAGCCAGAGTCATTCACACAAATACTAAACACCATCATGGTAGCACACATGATACTGATATAATGCAATAAACATAAATTTAACAACATTAGATATAAGATAAAACCCTAACCTACATTGTAAAAAATTACAGTGAATTTAACGGTAAAAGAGTGTAAAAATACTACAGTAAATACCTGTTAAATGGTTAACGGTAAATTCCCCTACTATATACGGTGAAAAACTGTATTAGACATTACATTTATTGGACATTAATTTTACGGTAGTTTACTGTTTTTGGAAGTGAAAAAGACTGTATAATTTACAGTGAATAACCGTAAATTGACATTCCCAGAATTCCCTGCGTTACATTTCAAATTTGAGTTTTTTTTTGTTGAAATAACTATGTTTCTTCTTAGTTTTTTCTTATCAGTTTTGTATATTAGGGTTGTGTGTTACACCTAATGTTGTTAAATTAATGTTTATTGCATTATTGTAGTTTCATGTGTGTTACCATGATGGTATTTAGCGTTTGTGTGAATGACACTGTGCACCTTCAATATATGTTATTATTTAAAAGCTGCTTGTGATGGGCTTTGGTCCATCATGTGACTTTCTCATCATGACCTGCATTTGGTGGTTATCAGTGTATTACAAAGGTACGAAACAGATTTCAGTACTTCAATAGGTTGGTACATTAACATTATATCAGTTAATGAAATTACGGTATTTAACTGTAAATTTAAGTTAAAACCGTAAAACTGAAAACTTTGCTACCATAAATTTTACGGATTTTTTTTTACAGTGTACCAACTGATAAGAAAAAATAATAAGAAGAAACAGTTATTTCAATGAAAAATCATCAAATGTGAAGTGTCATGCAGGGAATACAGTTTTTCACTGTAAATTAAACAATACTTCTTCCTTTTCACTTCCAAAAAACGTAATTTTAACAGTATTTTATTCTGTAATTTTATCAGTTATTCACCGTATATAGTATGGAAACTTACTGTTAATCAATTAACAGGTTTTTACTGTAGCAAACCATCAATACTTTTTTTTTACAGTGTGGAACTTATTGCAGGTATCTGTTAATTTCAAACATGATAAAGCATGCATTTTCTGTAAATCTGCTTTGAAATTATGTGTATTGTGAAAAGCGCTATACAAATAAATTTGAATTGAATTTAAATTAATTAAATTAACCTTTTAGCACCACTTTAATTTACAACCTGCCATAATACAACAATCAATGTTATAAAACATTGTCACAGTAACGGTTAACTGTTCGGGAAAAATTGAACATGCTATTTAATGGCAGACACTGGATATTTCACTTTGAAACTGGCGTTGAAATGTGCAATAAGCAATGCGATATTTTTTAACCATTTTTACTCACAGGCACTTTTTTTTCATGACTGTGTTGTTTAATAAACCCGTTTAATAAAGAAAAAAATATATATAGCTTATACCACCTCTTGTGGATGTGTCATCTGAAAAAGTGCAGCAAAATACACGTGAAGCAACATATTTCAGGTTTTGTAGAAATGTAGCCACAGTAACGTATATCCAGTGAGCCTGGGTTGCGCAAAGTGAAGTCAAAGAGGAGCAGAAGAAAGGAGCAAAAAGCAGGAGAAAAGTGTTGCACGTGTGTAGATGTAGTGAGATCACTACTCGTCAAGAAAACAAGTTTGATGAATATAGCAGGAGGTGAGATAAACCCATTATCATGTCTCCCACCTCAGGCACCTAATACTGATGAGGATAGGCCAAATCAATGGTAAATTTTCAGTGTCGATTCTCAACTGGTACTTATGTTTAGTCACTGGGCACTTTAGGGACAAACACGGGGGCAGTTTAATGTGTGACTTTCAACTTTTGTAATTATAGGCTTCAGTGTGTAACGATTTCCTGTTTAAAATAAACATACACAATTAAACAGACAGTTAGGCCATCTGTAAACACAATTTAAAGTGTTGATGAGTTTCGAACTTCGAACATTCTGTCGTTGTAACAGCTCAGTCTCATAAAGGAGATGTTGCAGTTTCGATGTTTTTCCAAACAAAAAACAAATGTCATTCTGAACCATGTTATTCTGGTAATGTTTTAACTTAATTTTTTTAAGAAGTACACTTTTGCATACGTATTCCCCATTTGCTTTTCTACCTCAGAATGCCTATTTGTGATCATGTAATCATTGCTTTAACATGTTCATTGTTTCTTCTTAAATACATGACATTAACTGTATCATTTGTATTATCTTAGAACTGTACATTTCTGCCATATGGACATTACTTTTTTATTTATGATAACAGTTTATTCTTAGATAACAACCGGCTGTATATACATTATCACTAATACACTATAGATAAAATTACAATGAAGTACTTTACATTTGCTTTATATGTTAGTCAACACATCAAAACAAGTTACTTTAAAGCATGACAAAATATTATTAAAACATAAAGGTTTAAAATATACTTTTAAATGAAATTAAATTCAACATTATTACAAAGTGCACTGTTTAAATTTGTACTGCAATCTGTTTAAGTCAAGTCAAGTCAAGTTACCGTTATTTATATAGCGCTTTTAACAATACAGATTGTGTCAAAGCAACTGAACAGCATTAATTAGGAAAATAGTTTGTCAATAATGCAAAATGACAATAGTAAACACTCATTTTTCAGTTAAAGACAGTTCATCATTGAATTCAGTGATGTCAACATCCAGCTCAGTTTAAATAATATCTTTGCAATCATGTCAACGATATCGCTGGAAATGAAGTGTCCCCAACTAAGCAAGCCAGAGGCGACAGCGGCAAGGAACCAAAACTCCATCGGTGACAGAATGGAGAAAAAACCTTGGGAGAAACCAGGCTCAGTCGGGGGGCCAGTTCTCCTCTGACCAGACGAACCAGCAGTACAGAAAAATCAATATAAGACGTAATAAAACAGACGATGAACAATATTAACAGCAATTATTATATGATGCAATCAAACGTATAGCAAAATGTGGTAGTTCTGTATGTTGTTTCAGGGTTGGCATCATCTGAGGTCCTCTGAGGAGTTGCATCATCCGTTTAAATGTGGACATGAAACATGAAAGTATACTTTCTTTAACTACACTTAGGTGGTCTTTTATTTAATTAATGTTATATTATCTGCAATTACAGTCTTTTAAAATATACTTTTAGCATTTGAAATACATCGTAAGT